AAACTGATGAGAGTACCAAGTGAGTGACTGTACAGAAAAAAGAGAAAAGGACCCAAGACAGATACCCCACAATTAGAGGGCATGGTATGGAAGATGATCAAGTTGGTAAAGCAGAGTCCAAAGAAAAAGCAAAAAGTAGAAGACATCACAATAGGCCAAATACTTGTTCTCTTAAGCACAGATACAGAAAAGATCTATATAGAAAGATGCCATTCATTATCTTCAAGAGAAAATCAAAGAGGCAACTCTGCAGAAAACACTATAATCACAGTACTCTGTTTCTTGGAAAGAAACAGAAAGATTACTTACAAAACTTAAAAAATAATATTCAAACAGATAAATTATTATTTTCTTGCAAACCTAGCAGATTATTTTTTAAAATCAAAATTAAATAAATGTTATTGATAAGAACATCTCAGCATTAATCTTTCTCCAGGCAGTGTTCCAGATATTTATTTCACTGGAAAAATTGCTCTGCATATGGCATGAAAAAAATCAAATATTCAAAAGGTGACTAAGCTTATAAGAGTTGATTAAGATTCAGAAAGAAATACAAAAGTCTAGTCTATAATGCCATACTGCTGAGTTTCTTAAGACATTCTGAAATAAAAACATGTAAAATATTAAACACCCTAAGAATACATTATTATCTAAATCTAAGAAATTTCATATCATTATAGAAACTGGAATTATCTCAATTTTATATGTGACTAGAAAAAGACAGATGAATTACTGTCTCATTTAAACTCCAGAATAACAAAAAAAAAGTCTTATAAATGGTTTATGCTTTGCAGAAATAATGATTAAGGTCTCGTAAAAAAAAAAACCACCTCTAAAGCTTCTTAAACTAGATGATAAAGACAATCACCCACCTCTAGTGCAGAACAGAGTGGCACCATTTCCAAAACAAATGTAGGAGAAAAAAAATTTCACAAGTGAAGCTCTAGACAAATTTAATTTAGGAAAAATTTTAATACAAATCAAATTCAATAGCTTTCCATTAATTATATGAGTCAGAAAATGCAAAAACAAGGCTACAAGGGCACCAATAACTTATGAATTTTACAAGACATGGAGGAATGTCACAAGAGACTATTTTTAAAATAGGCTGAAATGTGAGCTAATACCGAACAATTTTTAAAGTATGACTTAATCATCTGCAACTCACTTCCCTGTATGTGTAGTAAACGGTTACATCATTTTAAAAAATGAAAATTTTCCTTTATCACAAACAGCACCTCACCAAACCTTAAAAAATCATTCACTGTCAGAGGAAGGATTGAGTCAGATGATCTCTATAGACTCTTCCAGCTCTGAACATAATATCTTTGGAATCTCAAATTTTTTGGTATAGTGCTATAAATTCTGAGTGCTTAATGAACATATTACTATTCTTAACCCTAAAATGCATAAAGTATCTTTGCAAGTAAATATTTGTTCTGCAATTGATATCACACATAAAGAAAGGCCCCTTAAGCTGAAGTCACTGAGCTACACTTCATAAGTTCAAAAGTTCATTTTTTTTAAAAGTTCATTTTCTACACAAAATAATATAGGAGTGGATTTCTACTCTCCATTACACAAAGAAAAGAGACATTAGATAGAAACATACTTAATATTTCTAATTAAAGAAGAATTACACCCCTGCTCTTTAATAAACATGGCCAAATAATACACACAGTGGGCTTCTTGTACTGGATTACCTCAGTCCAGTCATCCAAGCCATGGGTTTTTTTGTTTGTTTTGGTGAGGCAACTGGGGTTAAGTAACTTGCCCAGAGTCACACAACTAATGAGCGTTATGTGTCTGAGGCAGGATTTGAACTCAGGTCCTTCTGACTGCAGGACCAATGCTGTATCCACCATGCCACCTAGCTACCCCATCCATGCCATGTTAACTATGGCAATGGTAATGCTTGTGTTTGCTGGCTTGGTATAAGACTCACTCTAAGACTCACTCTAAGAAACAGTCTACAGCTCCCTTGCATTTTGAGACTTCAAAAGTCTTGAGGGAAAGGTCACAACAATGAATGAATAAAAGAGAAAAGAAATCATGTGATACAAGTCCAAAAGGTACAACAATTTTTTTAAACCCTTCTATTTTTCAAAGAAGTTACTTCCCACTGAAAAGTAGACATTTCTGTGATGAACTTGGGTACGTATTTGCTGGCTGTAAACAGACCCCTCTCTATGTGCATTTAGGGCAAGATTACAAAATAACTCACATTTCTACAGCATTTCATTATTGTTGACTGATTTAAAATAAGCACAAAATTACACAAATCAACATAGCACAGTCTAGTGGTACAAGCACTGGGCTTAAAGTCTGAAGACATGAGTTCTACTCCCAGTTCTGCCTGTAATGACCTGGGTCAAATCACTTCAGCTGTCAGAACACAGATAAATGTTCTTGTCCATTGTCACATGGTCTCTACAGTCTCTTCTAGCTCTGAGCGTAATATCTTTGGAACTTTAAACATTTTTCATACAGCTCTATGTGCTTATCCCTGTGAATAACTGCCGGTATATGGGGCTTCTGGGCCATTCCACTCCATCTCTCAGCTCCAGGTATTTTCTCAGAGTACTGCCCATGTCTGGAATGCTCTCCTGGCTTTGCTGTGACTACTGACCTCCCTGGCTTCCTCTAAGTCCCAACTAAAATCCCACCTTCTACAGGAAGCTTTCCCCAAACCCTTGTAATTCCAATGCTTTCCTTCTTTTAATTATTTCCTATTTATCCTGTATATAGCTTGCATTGTATATATTTGTTTACATGTTGTCTCGCCCATTAGGTTGTAAGCTCATTGAGGGTAGGAACTGTCTTTTGCCTCTTTTTATATCCCAAAAGCTTAGTACAGTGCTGGGCATATAGTAGGTGCTTAATGAATGAACAGAATGAATGAAGAGATGAACGAATGAAAATTACTCATTTGTAATTTAAGAGTCTCAGAAAGTTGCCTTGGATGCTTCTAAGTAAGAAGTCCAACCTTTGGTCATACAATTAGAATGTATTAGAAGCAGGACTTGAACCCCAGGCTCCCAGCTCCCAAGGTCAGAGCAGTCTCCAATACCACTGTTTTTGTTCAGTCGTTTCAGTCACATCCAACTCTTCATCACCACATTTGGAGTTTTCTTGGCCAAGATACCGGAGTGGTTTGCCATTTCCTTCTCCAGATCATTTTACAGAAAAGAAAACTGAGGCCAACAGGGTAAAGTGGCTTGCCCAGGGTCACCCAGCTAGTAAGTGTCTGAGGCTGGATTTGAACTCAGAAAGATGAGTCTTCTTGACTCCAGGCCCAGTGCTGTATCCACTGCACCACCTAACGTCACTCTCCGCTACACCATTCTTCCTCAAAAAGCTCATAAAATCCACAGGCTTTGTTGGCATTCTCCTTGCTTTTACCCAGGGTTATGGATCACACTCTGAGTTGTAAAGAAACAATGAGGCACTTTTTTTTACCTTCTTTTAGAAGTAATAAATGGATATGACTCCCTTAAAATAAATTTTCCTGCTTATTTTCCTTTCCTGACTTGGGGTCTGGAGTCTGGGGAAGACCCAGAAGACAAAACATTTCTTCCCAAAAGCCAGAATGCTAGAGAAAGAATGAAGCTATGGGTGACATAAAGTTGCACCAGAACCTGATGTTTCAGCACAGCAATGCAATATTCTCAGCAAGTCAGCATAATGTTAAAACAACCACATTGGTCTGTTTTGCTGCATTCAGGTATTCTCTTAGTTACAGCAAGCAACAATAAACCCCTAAGAAGACCCAAATCTCTATGGGAAAGACTTCAGTTTTTGAAAGAAGAAAAGAAATAATCAAGTTGTCAACTGGCATTCAACCCAAACAACTGTCATTTTGACAATCAAAAATATGTTGAAGTAAGCAACATACCCACCCATTAATATGAATAAAGTAAATTACATAACTGTCTCATAATTAATTTATACTTCAAACAGAAAATAAAGTGCCAGGATATAAAATGATACAACATATGACAAGAAGATCCAGAAGTTGAATCAGTCTGTACAAATGACTACACTCAAAGTTAAGAATTTGACAGACAGAACAGCCACCACTGCTAACCATAAAACCTGCACTGTTAGATTTTTTAAACATTAATTCTAAATAATCTATATTTTTCAAAAAATCTTTTGCTCATTTGGACACACGATTTTTTCATTCCTGGAGAACTACAAGTACCTCTACTTAAGGAAATAATTTAGAGTGGGCTCAATATGTACTGATATCATGTTTTAATATTTTGCCACAGGATAATTCCAGCTCAAAGCATCACTTCTAAGAGAAATTACAAGTATGAATCTAGAGTCAATTTCACTACACAGCTACAGAAACACAACTAGACCCCACTGGCACTGGAGGGAGAAAAGGCTGTTCCTCAAAAGCAATATTAAACATAATACAATATTACTACAAAGAAGGGAGAAAAGATCCTGACACACTGAAAGTTTATCTCCATCTGAAGCAGTCACTATTTCACCAGGGAAAAGTTAAATCCAAACACCACCCCAATTAAAGAAAATAGAAGGATATTTCCCTAACGTCAGGCAAATCTAAAGACAGCAGACAAAGAAAGGGGTTAATCCTGAACATCATCAAAGGACACTCACAAACGTGAACTTCAGTTGAAACAGAAGATCTCAACATTCCTAGAGACAAGACAAACAGGACCCTTCAACTGTTATTTCTGCATTTTCCTAATTGGTTTCCACCCTTCAGCACCACCTCACAGAAACAAGCTTTCCACCATCCCGAACCCTCGGTCTTTCTTTAACCAAGGAGAGCTCACGGTCCCATCTCTTTCCAATGACAAAGAAAAACACTCTGAAGGGGCTATCCAAAAAAGGTTCCTGGGATCACAGGTTTAGAGCTCAGAGGGACCTCAGAGGTCAAAAACCTTTCATGAGGCTTTCAAAACCTTTCGAACCCTTTTCTTGGTGCTACTAACTTGGAGTGCCAGCCTTCCGTCCCAGAGCCAATGCGGGTTGGATCAGGGGCACTAAAATCAGGGGGTGCCTTCATCCTCTCGAGTTTAGCAGGTGATGCCGTGTCCTGGTGCTGGCTAGCCATTTTGTGTGTGTGTGTGTGTGTGTGGATGCATTTCCCCCTTTCTTCATTTTGTTCCAGGGATTGGGAAGGGGGGAGGAATGACTCCTGATACCGGAAAGTCACTCCCAATATTGAGGGGCACTTACACCTTTAGAGGGGGAAGCCCGAGGAGGGGGCTACCCGCAAGGTAGGGGCGGACACATCTTCAAAGAGGAAAGGGAGGGGCTGGGCTTAGACAGCCTTAGCACCTTCGGAGGGGAGGACACTAGTAGGAGAATGCCAAGAGGCTACCGCCTTCAGAGGGGAGGCTGGAGAGACTGGGCTGGGGGGGAAGGTTAAGACCCTCAGAGCGAAGGCAGGGAAGGTGGGTTTGAACCCTCAAAAAGACTAGGGAGGAGAGGGAAGGGGGACTGCACCCTCAGAAAGAAGACAGAAGGGGGTCTACAGCCTCAAAAGGGGGACTGGGGAAGGAAAAGGGGTTTTGCACCCACAAAAGGGAAACGAGGTGAAGTGAGGGGGCTACACCTTCAGCAGGAGGTCTCTGAGGTGAGCTGGGGAGGGGGTTTGCACCCTCCGAAGAGAGTCTGGGGAGGGGGAACAGGGGGGCTCTCACCCCGGGAGGCGGGCCGCATCCCAGCAGGGGCGGCCGGTAGGGTCTGGGGACGGGCTGGCCCAGGGGCCCCGCATCCCTGGGGGTTGGGGAGGGTCTCCCCCACTGGGGGGGGGGGGAGGGTCCATGGCCCGAGGTTCGCTCTGCTCTCGCCAGCCAGGCCCCAGGAAGCCGGCGGGTCCCCGGCGCGGGGAGCCGCCTCACCTGGCCTGGCCACCGCCCGCTCTCGCCTTCGCTCCGCGGCTGCTGCCGCGCGGACGGACGGACGGACGGACGGACGGGCTGACGGACCGGAGGAGGGAAAGGGGGAGGAGGGCGCCGCGCTGCGCTGGACCTCGGGCCGGGCCTCTCTCGCTGCCTCCTCTTCACGGCTGCCGAGTCCCCGAACTCCCCGGAGCCGCCATCTTCTCCACTCAACGTCGCCAATGCCGCCACCGCTAACGCCAGCGCCGCCGCCGCCGCCGCCGCCGCCGCCGCCACCGCCGCCGCCGCTCCGGCCCGGGGAAGACAGCGAAACCGCGCATGCGTCAAGAGCCGCCCGGGGAAGGCCGGGCGGGCACGGCGCGGCGCGCGCGCGCACGCACGCACGTACGAAGGCACGAGGGCCAGGCGAGCCCGCCTCGCGTGGGGAGGCGGAGCTCCGAGGGAGACGTCATGCGGAGAAGGGAAAAGGGAGGGAAGGGCAGGTCAGGAGGAGGGGAAGCTGGGCCTCAGACCTTCTTCCCGTCGTCCCTTGCCTTTGTTATCGTTCTTTATTTAGGAAGGAGAGAGACTGTCCTGGAGAAATGGAGAGGAGAGCCAGCCTGGGAAATCTGAATCCCTAACTCGTTTGGGGTTCAGTTTCCTCAGCTGCAAAAGAAAGGGGCTGGACTTCAGGAGATGACCTTAAGGCCCCGTGCAGCTGTTCTATTTTTAAGATCCTATGAAATGAGCTGAGCTGTGGGTGTGTCCCACTGACCTACCTGATAGACGGACGCGTTGACCTTCACCCATGATAATAAAAGCATACACAAACAACAGTGCCTGCCTCTCCATTAAGAATGATAGCAATTATAAGTAATAGTAATCATAATAGCCAGGTGCTATGCTAAGCATTTTACAATTACTATCTCAGTTAATAATAGCTGACATTTATACAGCACCTATGTGCCAGGCACCATGCTGAGAGCTTTACAATTGTTACCTCAGTTAACAATAATAATAGCTAACATTTGTATAGCACTTACTATATACCAGGTGCTTTGTAATTATTGTCTCATTTGATCCTTACAACAACCCTGTTAGGGAGATATTGTTATCCCTGTTTTACAGATGAGGAAACTGAGGCAAGCAGCAGTAAAGTGATTTGTCCAGGGTCACACAGCTAATAAGTGTCCTGTATTTGTGACTGTATTGCCAGCAATCAGATAGCACTCCAAACGGGAAGGTGCGAAATAAATGTGAGATGTGGGCCAGGCAGAGCAGTAAAGACTGACTCAGTTTATTCATCTGAGAGTACAGGATATATGGAGAAAATCGAGCTTAACTTCAAAGAGTCCTCCCCGTGAGGTACTCCCCAAAACATCTGCTGAGGACGGGACAACATACATTTCCTCGTTATCAGGGTTCCTAGATTGGGTTGTATTTGCCAAGGTTTTCCCAGACGCTTTGGTGCCACCTGCATGGAGGACTGAATGTGTAAATCCAAGGTTCAAAGGGTGAGAAGGAATGTCTCAGAAAACCTCCCTTGCAGGGGGAGATTTGGAGAGCCCTGCTTCCTAAATGATTGAGCCCTGTGGGTTAAGCCTGGGCAAGAGTCAAACTCTGTCCTGGATCTTGAACCCAGATCGGACTCTTTAGAGCCGGCCCTCAACATGACTGCAAGCTCTGTGCTCTATCCATTTCACCACCAAGCTACCTACCAACAATTTGCCTTTCAAGGCCCAGTTTGAGCTTCTGAATAAAGCCTTTTCTGATCCTCCCCAACTGCTGGTGCCTTCCCTCCCAAACGGTTTTGCATGTTACTATTTTGTATCTATTTTAATTTATTCACCTTATATTTACACTGTCTATACCTATTTACTTATAGGAGTACTTGTGGTCCCCCCTGTCGTTCCCCCCCCCACATTAGGATGTAAACTCCTTAGGAGTGGAAATTGTTTCATTTTTTGTGCTTGTCCCCAGCACTTAGCTGGGTTCCAGGTACAATGGGGATACTTAATAAATGCTTATTGATTGAATGATTAAACAACATAGGATGGTGGCTTTATAATTGGGAGTCCAAACCCATCATTTTACAGAAGAGCAAACTGAGGCAGACATCTTGACTTATGCAGGGTCACACAGCTAGTAAGTGTCTGAGGTCACATTTGAACTCAGGTCCTCCTGACTGCAAGTCCAATGTTCTATCCACCATACCACCTAGCTGCCTGCTAACCACCTTCTTCACAGCAATCTCATAAGGGAAGTCGTGTAAGTATTGTTAGTCCCATTTTACAGATTGAAAAGTCCAGTGACTTACAAAAGAACACAAAGGTAGTAAGTGCTTGAACCAAGACATGAACTCAGAACTACTGACTCCAAGCTTAGCATGGCATAGTAGAAAGAATGCTGACCTGAGAATCTGGAAAACCTGGGTCTTATCATGTCCCTCTTCTTCTACTTAATAAATTCCAATGGCTCCCTATTACCTCAAGGATCTTTGACATCTAAAGCCTTCCACAAACCTTCTCAAACCTACATGTTCAGCATCATTATACGTTACTCCCCTTCCTGCACTTTACAGCCTAGCCAGACTGGCCTTCACACAAGAAGAGCTGAACACAATTCAAAGGAACACAGTCTGGTGAAGAGAAGAGAATGCTGGTTTTATAGGGACTCTAGTCTTGGCTCAGTAATACCCCTCACACGAGACCCTCCATTTCCCATCTTTGTACCTTTGTCCTGGCTGTCCCCCATGCCTGGAAGGCCTTTCCCTCCACCTCTCACAATCCCTTGTGCAGCCTTCTGTGTGAAACCTTTCCTCATCTCTTTCTAATGCTCTCCACTAAAAAAGTATATTTGTATATTCACACATGTATGTATATGTGTAAGTGTATGTGTGTTATTTCTTTCTTTAGAATGTAAGCCCCTTGGCAGAAACTTTCTTTTTCATCTTTGAATCCCTAGTGCCTGGAATAGTGCCTGACAAGTAGCAGGAGCTTAATAAATGCTTAATAGGTTAACTGATTATATTCAAACCCTGTTTCAAATACTAACTAGCTATGTGACCCTGGGCAAGGAACTAGACCTCTGTCAACCTCAGTTTACCTCCTCTATAAAATGGGCTTTACAACCCTTCACAAGGTTGTTACAGGATCAAACACTGAATCTCTCTCCTCTCAGAATACTTTGAAAGTTTTATATTTAATCTATTATATACCTATATAACATATACAACATAATATTATAATATCATATACTTTTTAAAAGAAAGTTCTATTTAAGAGATTAGGTTTCATATATAATCCTCTCTGTTCTACTCTGTATATAGAAATGCTTATTGTATTTGGTGTTCATTAAGATCAGAATAACTATAAAATTAAATGAAAATTTTAAAAAACATAAATGTCACCCCTTAAAGGTTCATAGATTTAAAACTGGGAGGGACTTTGGAAATCTCCTTGTCCAGTCCTTTCATTTTACAGAGCAGGAAACCAAGGACCAGACACAAGAAGTGACTGGTCCAAGGTCATGCAAGTAGTAAATAATAGAGCTGGCATTTGAATACAGGCCTCCAAATCCAGGAGTCTTTCCATGGCACCATGCTTCTATCTAAAGCCTTCCCTCCAAAGCCTCTTATTAGACTTTAGTATGTGACTTGGTGTATTAAAGCTCTTCGCATCTTCTCCAAATCAGCTCCAAGACTGTAGATCCTCTGAAACAAAGACCACGTCCAACTGAAGTCTGCATCTTCCCCAGCACAAGGCCGTTCATAAAGTAGTCATCTAATAACTGTTGAATGAATGGATGGATGGATGGATGGATACTTCTGAGCCAAGACTGGAATCCCTGTAAAGCCAGTATTCTGTCATCTTCACCGGACTGTCTTCCTCTGAACTGCGTTCAGCTCTAGGAGCCGCTGTTTAGAGAGGACACGGTTAAGTTGGAGAGTGTTCAGACAAAGGCAGTTAAGGACAGAGAGGGCTTGAGGGCTATGCCATACAAAACCCATTGCAGAGACGGAGGATATTAAGCCTGGCTAAGAGAAGATAGGGTGATACACTATGTAGAGCAGAGCGAGAGTGAAGTGGATCTTTATCCTGGCCTTGGAATCAGAAAAATCTGAATTCAGATCCTGTCTCTGACACACACTAGCTGTGTGACCCTAAGTAAGTCACTCTGTTCCTCAGTTTCCTCATCTGTAAAATGGGGCTAGTAATAGCACTTACTTCCTAGGGTTGTTGGGAAGGATCAAATATATTAACAAATGTAAAGTACTTTGCAAACTTTAAAGCTCTCTATAAATGCAAGGCATCATCATCATCATCATCTGTCTTCTAGTATTCTACCGGCTGTCCCATGAAAGGGAGATTGCATTGGTTCTACTTACCCCCAGAAGGCAAAACTGGGAGCCATGAAACAATAGAAGGGATTTCAGATTTAAGGAGAAATAGATTTAAGTTTTGGTGTCAAGGAAAATTTCCTTACCATTGGCACTGTCCAAAAGTTTGGGATCTACCAGAAATGCTCATAGCCACAAGTTTTCCCCCCTCTGTTGAAGTCCTGTTTTCCATTTCTTACATTCAATAGTCTTTAAAGGAAGCAAAGATACTGGAGGAGTTTGCCATTTCTTTCTCCACCTCATTTTATACATGAGGAAACTGAGGCCAACAGAGTTAAGTGACTTGCCCAGAGTCACACAGCTAGCATCTGAGAAGGGATTTGAGCTCAAGAACTCCTGACTCCAGGCCTGGCATTGTATCCACTGCACCACCTAGCTGCCAGTGACACTGTTAGTTCTAGAATATAAGCTCCTAGACCCAGACACTGTAACTCTTTATAGGCAGAGACTCATTCTTGTCTTTGAATTGACATCATACAGCAAAATGCCTGGTACATAGTAGGTGTTTAATGATTGCATGTTGGTTGACTGATTAATCACCAATTTGGCTGCAGGGAAATGAAATTTCCAGGCACGGAAACCCTCAAAACCCATCTGATATGGTACAGAGCTAAGTTCTAGAGATTGGTACATTGAGCAATAATGTTCTTCTGGCGGTGCTATTTGGCTATGAGCCATGGAATATAAGCTACCAAAGAATTAAAGTTGAGGGTCACCTAAAGGACAATGAAAAGGCACAGGGTGAGTATAAGAAATTCTTCAGTAAAATGGGAGTAAAGAAAAGCATCAGAAACAGAGATGACTACCAAAAAAAGGGGCCTTATCATTTGTTGAGAGCTACAAAGGCATAGTCCATATAGTCTATCTATATAAAATCAAGAGAATTATGGGTTTTATCCAAGCACGTTGGGTGGATTAAGAAGGCAATGTGGGTACAGTATGATACAGTGAAAAGAACATTATCCCTGGAGTCAAATCCTTTCTCTGATGCTTACTAGCTGAATGACCTTGGTCAAGTCCCTTCAACTCTGTGAACCTCAGTTTTCTTATTTGCAAAATAAGGGGATTAGACCAAATGTCTTCTAAGCAAGGTCCATTCTAGCTCCAAATGTATGATTCTAGGATTTCCAAGAAATCACAGAGAAGAGGGGTACGAGATAGGCAGGCATGGACGCGTTACAATCTGTACATTTGGAAGGAATACCCACATTGATGAGATTACAGAGTCATTGGACATGAGGGCTCAAAGTTCTACAGCCTAAATCTAACCCCGTTATAAGAAACGCATCTCCCAGACGTAGGAAAATTGGAACACTAATGCGTTGTTGGTGGAGTTGTGACTTGATTCAACCATTCTGTAAAGCAATTTGGAACTATACCCAAAGGACTATAAAATTGTGCATACCCTTTTAGCTAGCAACACCACTACTAGGTCTGTATCCCAGAGAGATCATAAAAAAGGGAAAAGGACCTACATGTACAAAAATATTTGTGCAAGGTCTTTTTGTGGTGGCAAAGAATTGGAAATTGAGGGGATGCCCATCAATTGGGGAATGGCTGAACAAGCTGTGGTATATGAATGTAATGGAATACTATTTATTGTGCTATAAGAAATGATGAGCAAGCAGACTTCAGAAAAACCTGGAAAGACTTGTATGGTCTGATGCCGACTGAAGTGAGCAGAACCAGGAGAACATTGTACACAGTAACAGCCACATTGTGCAATGACCAACTTTGTTAGATTTAATTCTTCTGAGCAATGTAAGGATCTAAGACATCTCCAAAAGTCTCACGATAGGAAATGCTCTCCACATCCAGAGAAAGAACTATAGAGTTTGAATGCAGATCAAAGCAGACTATTTTCTTTTTCTTATGTTTTGTTTTATAAAGCAAGGCCACATCATCATCATCATCATCACCATCATTATTATCTGTTTATTATTATTATTAATTATTCCTTCCTGTGGTTCCTCCTATTGGGTCTAATTCTTCTTTACAACATGACTAAAGTGAAAATATGTTTAATAGGAATGTATATGTAGAGCCTATATCAGACTGCACACTGTCTTGGAGAGAGGTGGGGAGGAAGGGGGAGAAAATTTAAAACTCAAAAGCTTATGGAAGTGAATGTTGAAAACTAAAAACAAATTAATTAAAAAAAAAAAAAGAAATCATGATCAGGAGGACTTCAGAAAAACCTGGAAAGCCTTACATGAACCGAAGCTGAGTAAAGTGAGCAGAACCAAGAGAACGTTGTACACGGTAACAGCCACATTGTGCAATGACCAATTTTGTTAGACTTAATTCTTCTCAGCAATGCAATGCTCTAAGACAATTCCAAAAGACTCATGATGGAAAATGTTATTCACATCCAGAGAAAGAACTATGGAGTCTGAATGCAGATCAAAGCATACTATTTGCTCTTTTCTGTTGTTTTTTGTGTTTTGTTTCTCATGGTTTTTCTCTTTCGTTCTGATTCTTCTTTACAACATCACTAATGTGGAAATATGTTTAATATGAGCATAGGTGTATAGCCTATATCAGATTGCATGCCGTCTTGGAGTGGGGGAAAAATTTAGAACTCAAAATCTTACAAAAGCAATGTTGAAAACTAAAAATTAATTTAAAAAGAAGCATATCTCCCTCTACTGGTCATAGATAAGAACTTCATGAAGGTGGTCAAGATTCAGCAAAACCAGTAATCACTTGATTACTTCTCTAGACCTTTAAAAAGGTAATTTCTTTTTTTTTTTTTTTTGGCTAGGCAATGGGGTTAAGTGACTTGTCCAGGGTCACAGCTAGTAAGTCTCAAGTATTTGGTCTGAGGCCAGATTTGAACTCATGGATAAACAGGATACCAAGTCTTTACTCCACCCCACATAAAATACAAAAACACATACAAGGGCTCACAAAAGTCCATAAACAATACAGCAAAACACACGAAGGACTCATGCAGCCCATTAATAATCGACATGCTTCTCTTCACAAATCTCACTTTCCAAGGGTCCTAAAGCCATCCATGCTCATAGTATAATTTTGTGTATTAGACCACCTCTGGAAGGGAAACAAAGGTAAGGTAGTTAACACAGCAACCAATCTAGTTTTAATTCAGAGATGTCTAGAGATATCTGACCTTAAGGTATTTGGTTCTTCTTCCCCCCCCAATAGGAAGTGATCTTGGGGCTACTAGACAGACCCCCTCTTCCTTATCTGACCCCCATTAACTGAATAATATATATTATATATAATTATATATATATGTATATATAATTTTATATAACACACACATATATAATGTATATATAATTTATATAACGCACATATACATAATTATATATAATTTATACACACACACACATACACATATGTGTATAAAGTCCAGGTCCTTTTTTTCTTCTTATCTTGGACTTGGTCCACCCCAATCCCAGGGCAAAATACATAATCCTTTTATCTCTCCAAGAAGTCTCTTCCCAGGAACTCCTCTTCTCTCAATGGAAGACCACATTCCAGGACTCCTGACCTTTAGGTTTCTAGAGAAACAACTCCAGAGGCAGGCCTTAGCCAGAAAAAAAAACTCACCCTTTTCTTTCTGGAAAGCTAGATTCTGGGACCTAGAGCTGAAACTCCTCCTTCTCTAACAATTGCACGGGAATGGCTTGTCTTCAACCATGTGGCCACCATAAGTGCCCTTTGGAAAGCCTATGTTACGGCAGCAGTCTGGGCATTCGTGACTATTGGTGGCATCCAGACCTAGCCCTGGATAGACCACGTCAGGGTATATATATTCTGTTTTGTGGTAGCCAGGGGGAGAGGAACCACGCAGTAAGAGTTCCTGAAACCCAACTTCCAAAGGAGCGTTTCAGTTATTTTTCAGAGATTACCTTTCCAAGGTCCAAGAAGTTACCTTTTTATGGGGCAGCTAGATGGTACAATGGATAGAGCACTGGCCCTGGATTCAGGACCTGAGTTCAAATATGGCCTCAGACCAAATACTTGAGACTTACTAGCTGTGACCCTGGACAAGTCACTTAACCCCATTGCCTAGCCAAAAAAAAAAAAGTTACCTTTTTAAAGGTCTAGAGAAGTAATCAAGTGATTATAAAATCTGAGTTTATAGTTAAGTGGAGAAAGGTATCAGAGAAAAGTATAGGAATGTTTTCGCTGGTTTGTGGGATTAGATGCACCTTGTTCATGGGAGAAAAATTTTGGAGAAAGATAGAATGGTTTTCTTCTTCTAGCTGCCACATTTTAGGAAGGCTTGATAAGCTGGCAAATGTCCTTAAAAGGGCAGCTAGGATGACAAATATCCTTGAGTCCATGTCATATAAGGATTAGCTGGGGGCTTTGCCGGAGAAGATGAGATTGAGTGTGTGTAGGGGGAGGGGGGGATGAGATTTGTCTTCAAATATTTCATAGGTTCTCATGGGGGAAAGAGATGAGATGTGCTCTGACTGGCTCCGGAGGGAAGGGAGGAAGCAAGCATGCATTGTTCACGTTGTGCCATTTCAATCTTGTCCTACTCTTCTCGACCCCATCTGGGATTTTCTTGGCAAAAACACCATAGTGGTTTGCCATTTCCTTCTCCAGCCCATTTTATAGATGTGGAAACTGAAGCAAACAGCCTTAAATGACTTGCTCAGGGTTACACAGCTAGTAAGTGTCTGAGGCCAGATTTGAACTCAAGAAGATGAGTCTTTCTGATTCTGAGCCCAGTGATCTATCCACGGCACCACCTAGATGCCTATTTATTGAGTACCTGCTATGTACTGGGGTGCAGGATGTTCAGGAAAGACTGCAGTGTGAGGGCTACCGAGCCCTTTTCAGGAGTACTCATCCACCTTTGGTGTCCACCTGCTTCACTCACCTCTCACCTGTGGCTCCAACAAGCTTTAGCATGTGCAGTGGCTACCCCCGGTAAACTGTTTTGGCAGACGGGCTAAATGAGGCTGAGGGTAACCAAGAGGTCTAAAACCTGTAGGTGAATTAGGGGAATGTCTGCTCCAGGCATGGGAAGACTTCCCCTGGCAGAATGGGCAGATGAGAACAATTTGTTCCAATGGCCATGAAGGCAGCTGAAGCAAGCACTGTGGAGCACTTAGAGCTTGATCAGACATCGAAGACGCCAAGGTCATCCACTGTATCCTGAGCTATAGCCAGGCTTCTTGACTTTTGTCTTGACACCGGACTTCAATGATTCTGAAAGACAGAATGAAGCCAATAATTACATACAACTCTGCCTCACTTAAATCCAATTTATGTGCAAGTCAAAAGACATCACCCATGCCATTTTACCATTTTTACCTACCTCAAAGTCCTGTGGCAACAGGCAAGTGACAGAGCAGCAGATGTGGATACGCTGGGAGCTGCAGTCACAAGCCTGCACACAGGCGGCCAAGGCCATACAGTCATCTTCTCACTGGACTGAAGCAGCAGTGGGATTAACAACCCCTTGGACATCTAAGCAACCTTTTCCAAGGAGCGCCCTACTCCCTCCTGGCATGAGGAAGGGGCTAGAAAATGTGCCCTAAAAATTGTCTGCTTCACTCAACCTTAGCCTGCTTGCTGCAGCAGGTGGGGATCCCACTCAGCGGTCAACCCCCCCCCCAAAAAAGTATGAAAACTTTTACGAAAATGATTCCACTCACCATCAGTACATGGAACACTCACATGTTTATGGATAAGACAAAATCCCATAGACCTGAAAGACAAACAGCTCTTGTTGTGAGAGAACTCAATAGGTATCACATCCAAATAGCAGCCCTGACCCTGAGTGAAACGAGGCTGGCAAATGATCCAGGAAACTGAATCACTGCCATTTGAATTGTCTCAGGAAGATTCTGAAGATCACCTGATGGGATAAGGTACTAGACACTGAGGTCCTTTCTCAAGCTGAACTGCCAAGCATTCACACTCTATTGGAGAGAATGCAACTCTGATGAGCTGGCCACACTGTTCAAATGCCAAACATACTTTCGCTGAAAAGACTGTTTTACAGACAATTCACACAAGGCAAGCTCTCACATGGAGGACAGAAGAAGCGATACAAGGACACTCTCAAAGTCTCTGTGAAGAACTTCGGAATTGATTATGAGACGTGGGAGACACTGGCACAGAACCACTCAACATGGCATGCCCACATCAGAGAAGACAAGGTGCTCTATAAGCAAAGCAGAATTGCAGTTGCTCAAAAGAAACGCGAAATTTAGAGGCATCTCCACCCCAAATGTTAGTATGGACAATTTATGCCAAACTTATGATAGAGCCTTCTGAGCTTGTATCAGTTTGATCAGCCACAGCTGAACAGACTGTACCTTGATCCCAACATAGTGATGTCATTTTGACAACAACCAACATATAGGTGCCAGGCAATGTGTTAAGAACTTTACTAAAGGCCTCATTTCTCAAGCAAATAAAGAACTGAGTCAGATTTATAAAAATAAGAGCCATTCCCCAATTGATAATTGATTAAAAGATATAATCAGTTTTCAGATGAAGTAATCAAAGCTATCTATAGCCATATGAAAAAATACTCTAACTCACTACTGATTGAAGAAGTGTAAATTAAAATAATTCTGAAGTACTACCTGTTAGATTGGCTAATAGGACAGAAAAGGTAAATGACAAATGTTGGGGGGGGATGTAGGGAAAATGAGACATTAATGCACTGTTGGTAGAATTGTGACTTGATTCAACCATTCTGTAAAGCAATTTGGAGCTATGCCCAAAGGGCTATAAAACCACGCATACCTTTTGACCTGGCAACACCACTACTAGGTCTGTATCCCAAAAGAGATCAAAAACAAAAAGGAAAAGGACCTATATGTGCAAAAATATTTATAACAGCTCTTTTCTAAGGGTAAAGAATTAGAAATTGAGGGGATGCCCATCAATTGGGGAATGGCTGAACAAGTTATAGTATGTGATTATGATGGAATACTATTGCAGTATGAGAAATGATGAGCAGTATGCTCTCAGAAAAATCTGGAAAGACTTGCATGAGCTGATGCAAAGCGAAACATACTGGGTACAAAGCAATAGCAATATTGTAAAGTGATCAGCTGTGAATGACTTAGCTATTCTCAGCAACACAATGATCCAAGACAACTCTGAAGGACTTATGATGATAAATGCTATCCATCCCCTGAGGAAGAACTGTTGGTGTCTGAATACAGATTGAAGCATATATTTTTTTTTCCTTTATTTTTCTTGAGTTTTTTTTTTTCTGGTCTATGTTTTCTTTCACAATGTGACTATTATGAATATGTTTTGCATGACTACACATGTATAACCTATATGGCATTGCTGGGGTGGGGGGTGGGAAAAGGAGGAAGGGAGAGAATTTGGAATTCAAAGTTTCAAAAATATGTTAAAAATTGTTTTTACACATAACTGGGGGAAAATAAAATACTAAATAAAAGCTTAAAAAATAACTTCACTAACATTATCTTATTTAATTTTCACAGTAACTCTGGGAGGTAGATGCTATTATTATCCTCATTTTATAGTCGAGGAAACTGAAGCAAACTGTATGCCCAGATCACAGAACTAATAAGTATCTGAGGCAGGATTTGAACTCGGGTCTTCCTGAGTTCAGGTCCAGGAATCTATACAAGGCACCACTTTGCTGCCTATCCAAAACTAGGAACAGTGGGTAGAAATTACAAACTAACAAATTTGAATATAATGTAAACAAAAATTTCCCAAGAATCAGAGCCATCCAAAAATGGAACAGATTGTCACAGGAGGGGTGGGCTCCCCCTCACTAGAAAGCTTCAAGCAAAGACTGATTAAATACTTGGCAGGGAGAAATTATAAACATTGAGTTTAGAGCCAACATTTGTGTCACCAGAACTTAGTATAACATATGGCATATGGTAATCATTTAATAAATGCCTTACCATTCATTCATTTATTCACAATTGTCAATCAGTCAATAAGTATTTATTAAACTCCTACTATTTGCTAGTTCCTAGGGATACAAAATCAAAAGTGTAACAATCCCCAAAGTGAAACAATCCTTTCCTTCCAGGAACTTATATTGATAAGGATGATGACGATGATGATGATGATGATGATGAAGATGAAATGGATGATGGTGATGATTATCGCGATCATGATCATGGCAATAATGATGAGAATGATCAGGGATGAAACACCCTCTACCAGTACAGATGGCAACTCTTTGATACCTCCTCATCCTATACAATAATTTTCAAGTTTAAGTCCTCTCAAAAATCTTCCAAAGAACCACGCAACACCATTCTGTCATTTTTTAAAATATCTCAGGGATATGGATATATTAGGCAGGCAGGCAAAGCAACAAATATTTACCAAGCCCTCCATCACATAAAAGGGAGCTAGGAGGAATAGGTATAAAAGTCTTGAGTGGAAGTACAGAGAGTCAGAAGCAGGGCCAGGAGGGGCCAGCCTGGGGGCCCCCCCAAAATGGAGACACCAAAAGGACCTCAACAATGGAAGACTTCAAAAATCACATGGACTGAAGAGTTCTCAGCAACCATCTAGTCAAACTCCTATCTGAACGAGAAGCTCCCTCTCTGACAAACGAACATCCAGCCTTTCCCAAAAGACCTCCAGCAACAGGGAGCTCACTAACTCCCTGAGCGGCCCATTCCACGCTGGGATGGCACTAATTACTGGACAGCTCTTCCTCACATCACCCCCAGGCTATCCAGTTGTTCTAATCTCTACTTCCTGTTGTGCCCAGCCTGACTCCTTTGACTCTTTCTGTGGCCAGACAAAACCACAATAATGTCTTTATATTACACAAGATAAAACTATCTACATCAACGTGTATATAATTACACAGACATACATACATATATGTTTTAATGATAACTTCTGTTTTTTATTGTACACTCATTTCCCCTCCCTCCCCCTAACTATAATATTCCCTTATAATAAGGAAAAACAGTCGAGCAACACTGACCAATAGAGCTACCAAATGTGACGGTATATATATGCACCATTCCATCCCCTTGGTCCACACTCCCACACCTCTACTGAAAGGAAGGAAGTGTGCGTCCTCTGGGACCAAGGCTGGGTACTGCCTTTGATCGAAGTTCAGCTGCCTTTCAGCATTGTTTTCATTTTCATTGCTGTAGTCATTATCAATATTGTGCTCTCGTTTCTGCTTCCTTCACTCAGCATCAGTTAATACAAGAATAGGCTATAATTAACCACACAATTATATGGTATGGCCCACAAGTTGCTAAATAGAAGTTCAAAGGAGATATGTGTTGAATGAAGGCTGGAGCACTTTGGGAAGGTTTAATGAAGTAAGTGGACCTTGAAGGGCCAGTAGGATTTGAAGAGGCAAAAAAGAGAGCGTACACATTCTTTGTAGGAAGTCAAAGGATACCAGGTGGCAAGTGGTCATCCATCCACCCATCCATCCATCCATCTATCCATCCACCCATCCATCTGCAGGGAAGAGGGCAATGTGAGGCTGGCTAGCAAAGTAGAGAGAGGCCATGGATCTAGTCACAGAAAGGATCTTGGCCATCAAATGCAATCTCCTTCATGAGGAAACTGGGGATCAGAGAAGATAAGGGACTCCCCCAAAGTCAAACAAGTCATACTTGTTAGCTTTCTTCTAACATCCACAAGGATATCCGCTAATCTAGCACTCTGGCTGTCCAATTATCATCCCTCACTCTCACCCCATGACCAGCCCATCTTCTCTTCCTCATGTACAATTAATTCCTTGATGGTAGGTGAAGTGTCACCCCATATCAAATGAAATACATTGAAAACCAAATTACCATCTGTTCACAAATTCCCCTTCCCTTCCCTTCCCAATATCACTGTCAAAGGTACCTCCAGTCTTCCATTTAACCAGCTTTAAAACCTCGGAGTCATCTCTTACTCAATCTTTTTCTTCATCCCTCACATCCAGTTGGGCAGCCATCATGTTCTGTTCATTTCCTCCATGTAATGGATTATCCATCCATCCTTCATTTCTCGTCTTCTTTTTTAAACAGAGAGAAATAGCAGATTTTCTTAAATTTCCTTCAGACCACTACCATCTACTTCACGGTAAATGTCACTAAAGATGGGGTGTTCTGGATGGTTTGGGTTTTTACACCACTGCAGTTTGGTAGAGTGGAGAGAGTGCTTGACTTGGTGTCTGGAAGACCTGAGTTTATCTCCCACCTTTACCATTTCCTTGTTATGTCATCACAGACAAACCCCTTAACCTATCTGAGTCTCAGTTGCCTCAGCTATTAAATGGGGATACCAATCCCTGTAGAACCTAATGGCTGTTGGGAGGTCACAATGTGTTTGAGTATCTAGAGCACTATATAAACTTTAAAGCATTATATAAGTAGCTAGGTGGCTCAGTGGATAGAGCACTACGTATGAAGTCAGAAAAAGCCGAGTTCTAATCCTGCCTCAGATATTTACTTTGCTGTGTGATCCTGGGTAAGTCCCTTCACCTCTCTCTTGCCTCAGTTTCCTCATCTGTAAAATGGGGATGATAATAACACCTACCTCCTAGGGTTGTTAGGAGGATAAAATGAGATAATATTCACAAAGCATTTTGCAAACTTTAAAGAGCTATATAAATGCTAGTTGTGATGATGATGATGCAACTTCTAGTCTTGTAGAGTTTCCTGGGTCACAGAGGGGTTAAGTGATTTGTCCAGTGTCACAGAGTTAACATGTGTCAAAAGCAGG